GGAGTGGTTCCTGTAATTATTTCTCGAGTATGGTCTCACGGTTTAGTAAAGTGACTTCATTTGTGTCAACGAATATTATTCCATATTTTCCTTTCATATTTAATGTTAAGCTGATCAACACTGTCACATTGACAATCATGAACAGCGGTTCAATATGTAACTGGTCATGTGGTACATACAATTTGAAACAAAATGCGCGGGAAGCAAAAAAGTGGGGGTGTCGCAGTCTACTGATTTCAATAATATCATTGAAATTAAAAAGAACCAAATGCTTTTATCACCTTCTTCCACCATTAAAATTCCTGTTACCCCTGTTCAGTTTCTTGCCGGCCTTTCATGCTTTTTCTGCTAGGAGGGAAGCCACTCCACTTTCCTGGAAAAAGGCAATGTGCTCGGTCCAGGTATGGGTTGATTCCGCCGGTTGTAATTAACTCATTCCCATCCGGTCATATTACATGTTTCGACCTTGGAGAGGAGAAAATATCTCTGCAAGTATTTACCCCCTTTAAAACGAAAACCAGCGTTGAAATCCTCATAAAAATAACCTTTCGAACGGGGGGTCAAATGGTGGTATAACATTACACACAAAACCAAAACATCGTATATTTACTCACCGCTTGGCCAAACAGTTCAAATCAAGAAAAACTTGAGTATCTTCAAAACTCTTCAGCATTCGCCCAAGTCAACAGTAGGGAAATATTGCTTGTATTCAAGCGCTTTTATGTAGAAAGTTTCGTTTGAATACGACAAGTACAAATATTTATTTCGAATTTTTCAAAATATCAGGTTTTTACTTGCACGCACGTGCCATACGCCAAAATTGGCCAATAAGTAGCACCCGTAGCCCCATGCACGTGAAAATCACGCCACAGGGGTACTTTGACCTTTAGAATCGATTTCCGACGTTTCCAGAGTGACTAGATGTAAACATCGCATTGTTTCGGATATTTGAACTCGAATTTCCAGTCAAGGCTCTTGCGTAAAAAATTAGATATTTTGAAAGCCGAAATAAAACATGCAAATAAGCAGATACAAGCTTGAAAATAACACTCTAAATAGTGTATTGAATTGTGTTTTGAACAAGACTAATACCAAAAAGATATGTTGAAAGGGCCAGAAGTTATATTCGGCGAAATGTATGGCTTAGTGATGCATTGTTTACATTCCTTCAAGTATAGTTTACATTGTTCGAGTATGCCTAGTTTATAATTTATGGCTATTTTACATTGCTGATTTCATAGAACTTTTCAAGTTGATTTTTTTGGTGGTATTTTCGTATTTCTACTGCAAATACTCGCAGAGTTCTGTAATATTTAAACTGCCCGTCATATACGTCGGATATCAAATAATACAGAGCTATACGAGTTAAGTATACCAAGAATTTTAATTGCACTGTGTGTTTGGGCTAGCCATGAAATTGTGAAGGCATACAGGGTGAAACAAAAGAGTAGGGTGTGGTTGTGGTTCCAAAATCTGGAAAAAATATTTGTTCAACATTGATAAGTTTATATAAATAAATGATTTCTCATGTAATACTGCATGTTATATATTATAAATTATTTAATATTATAAGAACAGACATTAACAACGGATAATATAAACTGATAAACAGAGCAATCCCCCCCCCCCCCATAATAGAGTCAGTTCTCTAATAATAATAATCTATGTCTGACTGTCAACTGCATCCCAAGTGCCCTGTGTTCCCTTTAGGCTTAGTGTGGAATGTATTACTAATCAGGAAGTGTTTTCAACAAACTTATAAATGTTGTATGAAAACATAGATGTAAGTCATGCTTGTCTTTGCCCAGAAAGCACAGAAACATTTGATGAAAACACCTCCTGATAAGTAGCAATACATGGTAACTTTGAGCATTTCATGTTCATCTAAAAATTTGCTCACATGCAAAATGTAGCAATAAAGGCCACTTTATTAGCCATTAAAAGTCCTAGGCTAGTCTGAAAGTCCTAGGCTGCAATTACTTGTCACTGATGCTCATCAAGTGAATTAAATAAAACTATATCAATTAACACGATTGTGTTCATTATTAAAGACTGGATTTTTTCGTTTTATGTGCAGTGAAGAAGGGTGATTGGAGTTGGCCATCCGAAATTTTTCCAGTTACTCTTTTGTCCATGTGTTTAACCACAAGATTGTATGGTGGATGTCTGAGTTTATCTGTGAATTCACACCCGCAACCATAACACTTCACATTGGACTGGAGGATGGGAATCTCATATGGATGTGGTAATCATCCGGAATGCCAACTGCAGGTATTGTTGCTGATTCCATAGCAGGCAGAATAGTGAAAGGAGTAGTCCAAGGATGGCTCTGGTTAGAATAGGAGTGAAGGGGTGATTGGTGCTGTGGGTGTGATGGAGGAAGATGTCTGATGAAAGGCGAATCATGAGGGAGAGGATGCTGCAATGATATTGTAGGTTGTGACAAAGGTATGTTCAGAGGATTAGTACTACCAATTTGGTCATCTTTAGGGTGGTTAATATTTGGGATGGTCGAAGATGGAATGGCCGACTTTGCACTTGGGCGGGCCTCTGTAGTAGTTGCAAATTCACAGGTTGTTCGTTTGTGTTTTTTGCCGCCTTTCTTTTTTTACAGTTCTTATATGAAGGACCGGTCACGACTGACAACAAACCTCTTTGGTACTCTTTAAGTTCCACATCCAAAACCACACACATAAGTGTGTCACTATAAATGTGTCCATGTCTTTCTTTGCATTATCATATGCTTGCTCTGTGGTGCTTGTAAGTAATCGTTCACAGCATTCTTTAAATTCAGAACAACTCTCGTCATCCTGCATTCGACAAGCTCTTTTATTTCTCTGCTCTTTTAAACGAAATTCACAACTTTTGACAGCCGATTTCATTTCATCACCAAAAAGTTTTGTTATGGCAGAAAAGTTTACACCTGCCATATTGGTACAAAATCCGATCGGGTTAAACTTGTAATCTTTCTTCCCGGACACCTTTTGAAGAAGTTCATTGAACAGAGTCCAAAATAATTCTATATTATCTGAATCCTCACCAACTGCCTCCATTATTGCCAAAGTTACCTGCGTACGTAACAAAACCCCATTGAAGAAACAATACTTGTCTTTAAGGTCAAGGAAGTGTTCACCATCTTTGACTATTTCCATTGCCATTTTAGCCTTTTGTTCACTAAACTTGAAAACGAAAGAAGGGATATCTAGATTTTTTCTGTTATCCTTTATCTTACAAATGTAAAATTCATTCTTTTCATTGCAGTATTGTTTAAAAGTTACGACAGCTTCAAAGTCATGACCAACAGGCTACATGTAATTTTTTTTTTTAAATTTGAAAGCCATTCTATCTAATGTGGCTTCCACCTCTTTTTCTACTTTTTTCAATTGGCGCCTTCACAAAATGTGGACAGAATGCAAGAGGATTGAATTTCTGAAGGCTTTATGTTCGGGTTACTTTTGAGAAGTTGGGACTGAACCATGCACAAGATTTTCAGTCAAAAAGATGAGGATTTCTCGATCGAACGTATACGGATCATAAAGATGGTAAAACATTGAACACAATCCGTACGGTCCGTACAAACTGTGAAATGGCTTTATGGAACGTACAGTCCGTACATGATTTACGGATCGTGAACATGCTTTGTCGATGGTGATGTTGTGTTTAAGTCAGGCCAGAAAAGTTTGTCGATCCGTATGGATCGTACAGTCCGTATGAACTGTAAAATGGCTTTACAGGTCGTATTTTTCATGCTCAAACTCTCACTTCACTCGGTCAATGCAATAATTTATAATTCATGATGGCGTCGTATCTGGGCAGCAATTTATTATTGTCCAAAGTATTTTTTGTGTTTCAAACGGTTGGAGATGGATTCCTAGCCGTTAGTTCTTTATGCAATGTAGTTAAGCACTATGTGATTTGGGAGAATGCTGGAAATGAGAGAATAGAATCTGACGGGTATAACAAAGGCGAGAAAATTCAACAAGAACAGTTTAAAAATGAGATGAGCAGCTTGGTTTATTTACACCCTTCTCTTGCGACCGATTATAAAAAAAAAACATTTAAAGAGTTTCATGATTTTACTTTGAGTTGTGGTTCGCCTATGGGAACAATTTTAGTTAGTAGTCGTACTATTTGTCGCAAGTGTGAGAGGCCTTTAAGTGTTGAGCCAAAAACACATGGTTGTATTTTATCACATCAATCTCGGGAGTTATGTTGGTTGCCAGCTTACAAAAGTGTTCAGAAAGTGCAAGATCGATGAGCATTATGGTTACTGGACAGAGAAAGGATTTAGATATTTGATAAGGATTCATTGGAATTAAAATTTCTGCTATCCTCAGAGGACACAGCATTTGATTTTTGTCTCTTGTGTGAGTGTTCAAGTTTGTTGATGGTAGGTGCTGTGCCTTTTTACACATACGCAGCTTCCTATAATAGACGATTTGGGTATCATAAAGGGAAAGTAATGGTGGATAAATCAAAACCCAAACGGATGAAAAGGTAATATTTATGATTTAACAATTTTTTGCATATTGTTCTTTTATTTACAAAATATGGCATATAAATATTGATTGATATAGTCTGTGATCACTGAATATATACCTCAGTCTGTGAAGTAGGTTAACCTTATAAATAATTTTTTGGCAAGGATATAAAGAAGTGCTAAACCCAGTAAGTTGTGATGTGGGCAAATGCATGTGACTCTATCATTTTACTCAGTGTATTGAGAAATTGTGATCATTTAAAGATTACGCTTTAAAAATATAGTAAAATGCCCTGCTACTTTTTGACCATGACCAAAAGGCTGGCCTGCTTGAAACACGAAATTTTGTTCAAAAGAAAACCAGAAATTTGGGTGTGCTAAACCGCAAAGCTATTGCTAATCGTGTGCTCTGACGTGTGCACTTACATGGAAATAAGTATCACATTTTGATTGGTTTAACAGCCAAGTCAACCAAATCCTTGTCATGATTGGCTCAAATTTCGGAATAAATTTTATAATGTATTCTGTGATAACATTATTCCATCTTCCGACTTGTGTTTGTCCATCTTGTTGCCTTTTATGTTTTCTTTCTGGTAAGCCAGTAGTGAGCTCCACAACAATCCATACAATTTCCATAATTACAAAAAGTAATTGCTCGAGCTTACATCGTATAGTTTGTTATTCCTTTGGTTATTTGTTATTTTAATTAACCTTCATTTCTGTGACTGACGTTGCGAATACATGGAACAGGCTCCTAGTTTTCCGTTTCAAATTTTCGGGTGGGGTTTGTGAGCTGGTTACCAAAAGCCCTGATCCAACAATTTAGCTGATAACCAGTTGCATAGTGTGATTATCTCATAAGCTGCGGCCTGGTATTTGACCTAGCAATATGTTATGTGCTACATACCTACATGCAGTCTCACTGTTCATTTCACATGTTTTCTCAAAAAATTTCCAAACATATATTTAATGCATGGATTGGTGAAGAATAAAATGTACCATTTACAAATTCTGAATAATGTGCTAGGTTACTTATAGACATATATTAGTGCCATCATGAAGCCTTTCTACAACATTGGTATGGTAAACAAATACTTTACGAGCAAATTAATCCTTCATGCATCAGATTGTAATGTTATGAAGTTGTGAACTTCAGAAGAAACTTCCAAACTTAGCAATGAATTTCTGAACATTTTTTGGTAAAGCAATGTGACATTTACTGTAATTTTTTGTTTGAAATGTATAATTATTTGGACATGGCATAAAATGAAATTTTGCAGCCGCAAAATTATTATTACTGTTACTTGAATAATTGAATAGTGTTTAATGATTCATTAGCAAAGATGGCATGATGGACAGAAAAATCTCAATGGAAAAAACTGTTTACTATCCGATTATATATATATATATTGTTTGTGATGTCCAGTGCCAAATAACGATATAAAATCTGGTACCTTCTGACTATTAGTATATGTGGTTTTGAGTGCATTTTG